CAAAAGAAAAACAACCTTTATGGTTTACCTCTCTTGAAAACAAAATCATATCAGATAAATATCACAGAACTATCTTACTTCACTTTCAATTACCTGGTACCAACTCTTTTGCATACAATATATATTCTATTGTTAAAAAACAAAAACCTTGACTTCTTACTTATCATTCCAATAATGAAAAAATTATTATTGGCAAAATTCACAAATATATTCCTGTCTCTAACTCATTTTTGATTACATATTGGAAATCTAATATTAATTTAGATTATGATCAATATTACTCACTCCCACCTATCGAATACAAACCATATACAAGATGCTATCTTAATTCAAACAGAATTAACAAATATGTATTATTAACATATCATTAATTATTCTGCAATATTCCTAGCTAGAAAAACCTCCAACAATCTTAAACTCAATGCCAATTATATTAATCTTATATACTCAATAGCTATTAAATATCCTTTATACATACCTTCTATATCTTCCAATATTATTATACACAACTCTAGTATTTTAGAAATCTTTAAACCAAACAGCTGCACTCACAAGCTTCAAGACATTTATCTATCTAATTCTACAAATAATAACTTTACTTTTTATACTAATGGTTCAGTTATTGATATTGGATCAGAACAATGTTCTATAGGTATTGAATGAGTTCAAATTAATGAACAAAATCAAATTACCTATAAATTTTCAGCCCAAGTCTATTTATGGCCATCATTCTATAAAGCTGAATTATTCTCAATTATATCTGCAATATCTACTACACCTTGCAATTCATCTATTACCATATACACAGACTCACAATCTATTATTTTAAAATTTTATACACTATCGAACCAATTACAAAACTCTAACAAGTTATTTAAATTTAGCATATGGCTCTTATAGCATACTTTACTTAATAATATAAAATCTTTTAACCTTCAAATTACTTTTTACAAAGTTCAAATCTATACTAATAATCCTTTCAACAACCTCGCAGACTTCTTAGCAAAATAACACATACTTCTTTAACCTCTTATCTTTAACTATACAAATATTTATAACCTTTATCATATTCTTTAATAGGAACAAAACTTCATCGAACTACCAACTAGATATTTTATCAAAAATATATTCAAAGCATATATACTAGCAATGTGGTCTTTACAAAAAAAAAACAGTGAATAGTCTTATCTAAACCACCTTATAGACTAGACCTTTTCTTGGCTTTATCTTAATCATAACCAAAAATCTACATCTTTTTATACCAGCTTTAAACTTAATTAACTTAAAGTTTTTAAATCTAAATTCTTATTAAATGAGCTACCTACTTAATTCTTTCTTTATAACAGATATTCTCATATCTTTACCAATACTAATTACTTCAAATACAACCTTTTTAATTCATTTACACACTGATGCATATGCTTTAATATACATAATACTTTCTTCAATATCATTTATACATCTGTTAACCAAATAGTTTCTAAAACTGAACTGGACTTATTACCTTTCCAACTTCATGAACTAGGTTCTAATATATGCCATCATTTATGCTTTGATCGCATACTATTTCAACACAATTTACATTCTATAGACATTACACTTAAAGGACTTATATCTAAATCACTTATTGAAGTTATTCACAACTTTAATATACCTTCATAATTAGCTTCACAAATAGTAATTCAAATACTTCTATATATTAATGAACAAATCTATAAACTAATTTGGAAAGCATACTGTATTGAATTTTCCAATTGAAAAAAACATAACCAAATTCTACCAAGATACCAAATAATACTAGTAGTACTAATATACAACATTCAAATCATAGAGTCTTCAAACAATATCACCAAGCTTACACATACTCATGCTTATGTGGCATTGCAGATCAACTTCATTTACAATCTAATATATGTCTGCCAATTGATTAAGCAATTAGAAAAATCAATATCTGGTCAATTCTCTGAATTAAATACAATATTCCTTCTAACTATATATTAACACTCCAAATCTAGGTAAGCCTTAACTATTATAGTCAGTTTAGGTTACAAATAAACTAGTCTGAGCTCTTATTCTTGCATGTAATTTTTATTTTGTTACAAATAATCTTAGTTTATTTTAGTACTCCTGTATTAAAATATACAGTTAAAATTATTAATAAAGATATGAGCAAGGCCTCACCTTAATACTAAAAAAAAAAAAAAATTGCTAATTTGAGAAAGACTGCTGGTTCTGAGTTATAACTAGTAGAAATAATAGAAAAGATGCTAGAAAGATAGGTACTAGGGTTCTAGTAAACTTTACAAAAATGAAAATAATATAATATAGCAGTTAAATAGGTAATCTCTATGATTGCAAATATTAGATAACTATAGCATATTGCATAAAACTAGATTAGTATATATGAAACATATAAGCTTTAGTAAGTTTTCTGTCAAGAATAAAGTAGTTCTAAGGGTACTGACTAGTATCAAAAACTTGGATGAAGGCAGCCTTGAAGAAGTTCTTATGATACAAAAAGAATTGCATATGTAGAGGGTTTAAATAGACAAAACCTCTAGTTGGCTTATAAGTATAATATTTAATATAGAACTTATATAGTAATATATAAGTAAATTACTTAAATTAGACACCAAAAATGCATATGTAACTAGTTATAACCTTCAATATAAGGTAGCCTTTGGTGACATGCCATGTCTTATATAATTGAATAAAAATATCACATCCTAAAGATAGAAACTTTAATATTAAAAAAAATAAAATAAAATAAGTAATTATAAAAAATATATTATATTACTTTTTTAATTAGAAAAAGTAATAAAATAGATTTTAATTCTAATCTATTAACTAATCTTCAAAATTATTTAATTTGACTACTAAACATACATGCTTTTAAAAAGATTATATTTACTTATCTTTGTGTAAACTTCTTGATCAATTATATTTATTTTCAAATATATATCTTCTTATTGACTAAGCAATTTACAAAATTAACATTTAGTCTATTCTATAAATCAAAAATAGTATATTATTAAATTATATAAAAAATATTCAAATCTAAGTAAATTTTGATCATTTTAGTAGGTTTAGGTTACAAATAAATTAGTCTAAGCTTTTATTCTTATATGCAATTTTCAATTTATTTGTTTTGTATAAATAGTAGTAACTGTATAATTACATGTAACTATTTTAAATTACTAATAAAAATATAAGCAAAACCTCATCATAATACCAAAAAAAAAAATCAAAGCAGGCAAATTTGCCTACTGCGGTCTACAACATAAGGAATAAGCAAATGTGATTATAGAAAAGTCTGACTATATTAGATTTAATTGATTTTTGAACACTGTAACATGATTGGTCGTATATCATATGATATGACCGGGCAGAAACATTGCATATAGAAATATAATTGAAAAATAGCATATAAGTAGTTCAAATCGGAGTCCTCGGATTTTTGTAGTATCTAAAATAGCGTTGTGAAATTTACTGATTTTGCACTAAACATATGATTATTACATAAACGAGTAATTATATGCATATTTTAGATGATGACCGGAGAATGATAGATAAAAGAACTCGCGGAAGAAAAATACGATTACATAAAATTTATACTTAATAAATATAAATTTATAATAAGCTATTTTGCTAAAGTCGCCAATTTCAATAGTTATTTTTGCTATCAACGTCCGGGGTCCCTGGTTCAAATGTAGGAAAAGCGGGTAGTTGTGAAGTTGTATAGTGAGTAATATTGTTATTTATTATTATTATTATTATTATAATGTGAATCAAAAATCAGCCCAGGTTTTGATATGAAATCACTGTGTTACAAGGCTATGTAATACGTATAAATAGTAGATATTTGACCTCCCACGTTAACTTGTAAATTAACACACAAAGTTGAAAAGATAAAAGAATGTCGTATGGTACAAACCAAGGATCTTATCCAGGTCCACCACCAGCATATAGCTCTGTTGGAACTTCACACGAACCGTTCGTAGGTAGAGAGTGGGAGACTGACGACGTTCCTGAGGATTTTAAATATGGCGTGTCAGTTTCGGAGTGCGACGTTAGCGTTCGATTGGGTTGGTTTTTTCTTGATCATAAATTTTTAAGTTATTTATCATGGAGAGCTGACTTATTTTTTATAGCTTTCGTGCGTAAGGTCTATTCGATTTTGCTTGCACAAATTGGTTTAACGACTATTGTGAGTGCAATCTTTATGAATAATGATAATATCAAAAAATGGGTTCAGGAGAGGTATGAAACTTTAATTCCATAGACATGTTATTTATAAGAACTTCAGATGATATTAATGATAATTCCACAGTGGTGGGATTTTGATCGTTTCCATGATTGCAACATTTGTCCTTTTGTTACTTCTCATGTGGAAACGTCGATCTTACCCTACCAATTATGCCCTGTTGGCAGCTTTTACACTTGCTGAGAGCTATTCAATTGGAACACTTGGTTTGTCTTCATAGAACATAAATTTAATGATGAAATCTTTTTATAAACTGTCATTAATAAATAATTAAAAATTTATTATTACTAGTGACCTTATTCGACAAAACACTTGTATTATATGCCTTTATTATCACAAGTTTTCTTTTCATTGGCCTTTCATTATTTACCCTCCAATCTAAATATGATTTCAGTGGAATGGCTCCCTTGTAAGCTTATTGATTTAGTGTCGTTATTTGAATTTACATGTTGACTTTAGATTTCTTATATTCATATTACTTGGTTTAGCTTGTTCGCAGGTCTTTGGGTTGTTATAATCGCAGGAATTATCGGCATATTTGTTCCATTCAGTCAAACGTGGGATCTGATATTTGCAGCAATGACAGCCATTCTTTTTAGTGGATTTATTATTTATGACACATTCAATATCATGAAACGATTAAGCCCTGAAGAATACGTGATTGCATCCGTTGATCTTTATATGGATTTCATTAACTTATTTATTGCAATATTAAGAATTTTAAATGACTTGAATCGGGATTAAATACTAATGTAGTCTTTTGGAGAAATCTTATATATTTGTGAATTTAAGATTAGCTCTTACAAATAGTATTTTTGTAAATTTGCTTGCATTAAATTTAACGTGAGAAGTGAGTTTGTATATCTAACAAATACCATGTTAAATCAATAAAAAAGCAATTGAGCGAATTTTGTTTATTAAAGTATTTCAAAATATAGATAAATATTTGATCCATAATATTGATATTGAAATTTATGTATATAATTGTAAGAAAATGATTGAGTACAGTCGCAGTTAAAGGTTAAAAAGGGACGCGACAATTGCAAAGAAGGACAAACCACCACATACATAATAAGTGCAATATTTATCTTCAGGATCATAACTACGTGCCAATGGTAACATGCCGTGTAAGATTACATAAAGTAGAGTACCAGTGACTATAGCAAAAAGAAAACCAGAGACAGCTTCGTTCCATAAGGTGACAAAGATAACATAACCCAAAACAGCACCCAGCATTTGAGACGTAACGCCAACGGATGCAGCGATCAAGAAAGCTTTTAGTCGAGAACCGGTGGCATAATATATTGGTAAAGAAATGATAAGACCTTCCGGGATTTTACTGAGAAATATAAAACACTAATTAATATAGGGATTAAAATGAATTTGAAATAAAGTAACAAAAGATATTTACTGTAAGGAAAGTGCGATCGCATATATAACACCGATTTTAGCATCTGCAATTGCGGCCGCAAAAGTGGATAAACCTTCCGGAAAATTGCTATAAAAAAAAACAAAGTAAATAAATATATATATATATATATTTCTTTTTTTATTTAGAAATGAATAGCTTACTGAAGAGCCAAGGCAATGGCAATTTGAATGCCTAAACTTTTGAGTTTGTGAGTATCATCGGACCTTACTACAGTCGTTGAATTTTTATTTATATCATCGGTTTTTTCAAGGTCATCGGTTTTTTCAAGATCAACTTTTTTTTCGTTATTAATTAATTCGCCTTTGGTTTCAATATGGTCACTATGTAGACCATGTTTATGATTGTGACCAAAATAATATTTTACTATCATGATTAATATAATAGTTCCAATGAATACAGAAGCGGCTACGATATCTGCGTATTTCGGATTGAAAAGGTTTGAATTCCGGAATGACGATATTGCCTCAGGGTAAAGATCACCTAATGTGAGAAATAATAATATTCCAGCAGCAAATGATAACGAGCCAGCGAGAAAGCCTTTTGATTGCGTAATTCGAAAATCTTTAGTCCATGAAATATGTGGAAATAAAAGGTCTAGTAATGGTGTGAAAGAACCTAGAGCAGAGCAGAATGCTGCAAGGGCAGTAAGCCCAAATCCAAGGCCTATGTTGCCAGGGGCTAAAGTCGATTGGTCTGTGGCATATACGGAAGGTGGTGGTGGAAGTTTATTACTACTATCAGTTCCATGAGCTGTGATACTTGTTGGGGCCAATGAGATGACCAAGACTGAAAAAATTAACAAAATCCTGTTTGTTATTCGTAATGACATGAGAGAATGAATATAAAAAAGATAACAAAAATCTTAAAATACAAAAAAAAAACAAAAATTTGATATTAAAAATTTTAAGGAAATGAACAATTTAAATAGGTTATCACAAAGATAATGATTTGTAATTCTTGGGAAAGTTTTGTGATTCAAATGTTTTTTATGTTTCAAATTAGAGATTGTAGAGCGATGCACAGAAAAGCATAATTTTTATATAGGTCATATAAGAGTCAATCCTCGTTTCAGTTCGTTTAACCTTTTGAGGTTAGCAGTTTTTTTTTAAAGAATTATTCAATTTCTTGATATGAAATTTGAGGTTTGAATATAACGAAAACAATGAACTTCATTGCCAAGCAAACGGAACAAGTCGTGTAAACAGGTGATTTCCTTTTTTTTTTTTTTTTGGCGTTAATTTCGTGAGCAAAATATTTTGTTAATGGTTTCACAATTGTACACAGGAAAGAGGAAAGTACGTTTCTTATATAACATGTAAAAGGGGGATGAATTGTTTCTGTTTATCGCTACATAGTTTCACGAATCTCCAGTTGTTTGGATTTAAGGTTAATCCGAAATAAAATATATATTATTCTGGAAAGTTGTGAACCATTCATCTGAACTTTATCTTGAAAATCCACTGTTCACAATGACAGATTATCGCATTAGCATTACCTGTTTTCGAAGATTATTTGAAGTCTTATTAGCAATACATATAAAGGATGGTATAATAACAGTATATACGTGTATGTTTCTCGATTTCAAAAATTTATAAGTTAGAGAACCCTTACATTTGAAAGTTTCAGCCATAATGCCAGATATTTCTTATTATCTAAAACTTTTTATTAATTAATTTAGATATTCATAACTTCAAATTTGATGAATAAAATGGCTGACACTTCAGTTGTTCAGTACTATGTAAGTGCATGCCGATATTATGTACATAAATTGGTCTTTTTTAAAAGCCAAAATCATAGGGAGATGTTCGTCTAATTGGCCAATGTAAATCAATTGCCTGGGTAACTTATTTATACACTTTAAAGTACTTTTGGGTTTCACTAATAAAAAAATCAATTTTTTACTTCGAAAGAACGTTTAGATTCACTATGCAAAAATAATCAGAAATAATCAGTAACCCCCAAGAACTTAGAAGACAAAGTATGCCTACCGTTTATTGGACCATATTGTAGAGTGAAGGTAACTAGAAACGTTTTCATCTAAAACTATTGTATTACGTTAGATATAGATAAACTTTTATTTCTAACTGTTTAATTTGCATAGGTACAAGCTTACTAGAAGATCCATCGACTGTAAATTAGTAGTTAAAGTTTGATTGTTTTGTACGTAGATTCTTTAATGAGTTTGGGTTTATTAGTAATAAATATTACATTTACCCACTTTACGCGTATTTATCTATTCTCTAAATATAATTAATACATTCTTTTGCGTGTATTTATTAGTTTGTAAACTTCTTTATGCGTTTTCTAATACTGTAGTATTAATAAAATTATGTATTTTGATTGGTTAATTATCATGGGAAATCACATCTCGGAACCTGATTCACGATAATTAATTATTTCATTAACAAAGGTGTGTATATGTACGTGCATACTTACATGTTACTTAAATGCATCAAATTGTTACAAAACAATATCTTTTTTGCCAAATAAATTTTATTTGAGGAGAAAATTAATAAGTCAAGGTATTATTTGATTGTTTAGGTTCCCTAAAATTGTAAACATTAAATATTCAAGCACAGAATTGTACAAATTTGAATGTAATAATCAAAGAAAAAAATTTTAATGATTGTGAAATATGTTGTGCGACCTTACTTCCCTAGCACTGATTTTTAGCATTCGAATTTGCACGCTGGACGGCTTAAGAGGTAATGACTACAAAGTTGAAAATTTTCTCAATACGTATGTACTCGTTAAGGAGTTACAATTTTAAATGCTCTAAAGTGATTTGTACCACAAATAAACCATTACATCTGTGTTAATAGTAAATTAAATGATGTTAATTAGTATTTTAATTTATAAATTCATTTTAATAGTTAATTGTATATGATGCTGCCGTGCTTGAAGTTACCAATTTAGGCACACTAACTAAAATTAACCCTGAAATTAGATCTTCCTTGCACGCGTTAGTTAGTAATTTTAGTTACAACTTCAGGCAGATGCTAACTTCAAGCAGATGCTAACTTCAAGCACGACGAATCAGCCAGGATCGCCCCCAGAAGTTCGGGTGATTATCTACGAAATTGCCGCAGCACATATTTTATTATATTTCGTCATATAATACGAATGAGCGAAGTTATCTAGTTTTATTTTTTTTGGTTTCTTACTCGAAAATAGTTTTTCAAATAGAACGTCCAGGTTCTTAGTTATCCAAAATAGATTTTTGATTATCGGCGGCTTCTGCGGTACTTTCGAATTGTCACCTATAAATTATACATAGATTATCACCCGAATTTTCGGGCCGAGAGAAAACAAGACTTTGATCACACATAATTTATATGATCAAAGTCCACATATAACTCTTTCTATTGCTTTTAATGTACACTGATAATCTATATCTGATCAATATTTATCGTTTACGTAAGACAATTGAGTAATTATTTTTAAATCCGGACCAATGTTATATCGACGGAAGTAACATTTTGGATAAGTTACTACGTAGAGATGGGCAAATTTATTATGTATTCTTATTTATTATTACTTAATGTTATCTAATTTTTTGAACATTAAGTATTAATAAGTCATTCTACGATAATTCTATTTTTAGTGAC